TTGTCTGCCCTTTTCGCGCATCTGTTGGACAACTTACCTGCTCCTTTTGTAATTCGAAATCACTAGAGAGTGCTCTCAGAGCATGCCTAAACTAGGCCCTTATCTGTATTGATCGCCGAACTGTGAGCATACGAATTCGCGTCCTCATGAAAATCGTTCGAAATTTCAAGGTCCCATAATTTGGGCAAATATCATTGCAACTGATTAAAATCACTCTGATGGCAGATATTATGTTTATGTTGTTTACTCCCTATGTCATCTTACACCTGTAGCTCAAAGTTTGCAAAAAATCGATGAAGTCGGTAAATGTAATTTATTTTTGAAACTAACATTATATCCGTAGTCAGCACCCTCACTCACCTGCTTATACCAATTCCCAGCCCGGTAGCTCAAAATTCGCAAAAAAATCGATAAATCTACCAATGACGAAATGTAGTCTACGAGACCAGCTCGGCTCCTAAGGCTAGGTTCTACTGATTCCCATTTTCCAAAACTGTTCCCGCACAGTCCCGCACTGTGCTGAGAACTGTGCGGGAACTGCAACTGTGCTGCATGGACTGCAGCCGCCCGCACGCGTTTTAAACGGCGGGAGTTGAAGAATTTTGACCGTTTTCAATGGTTTTTCTTCCAGAGTTCTCTCAATTTGGCCTTATTCCTCTACCCCGCTCATTTTTTGATCAGCAGAATTCGAACTCGGAGCGGGGTTGAAGAATGAGCGCTTTACTGCTTTGCGTATGCGACAAAATGTGTGTTCTGGTGCTCGACCGTTTTCTCTTCGCTTTATTTTTATCAGACCTATTCCATTTGTTCCAGAAAGCTCCTGCGTAGCTTCTATAGCCATCTGCCATGAATTAGGGAGTGCTAGCAATTCTGAAGTTGCATGAATTGGGACTCTTTTGTTTTCTGATGAGTTTCGTTTTTGCGCATTTTCAGCCCCTTTCCTTTTTTCCATATCGTTGCTTCTCCGTTGTTTCTTCTACCCCGCTTCTCATTGTGATGAGAAAAGTGTGAAATTGAAGCGGGATTGAAGAAATAACCTTGTTCGGTTTCATATCCAAGCAGAATGGTCTTCGTATGCTTGTCCATTTTTTCTTCCATGTCCGGGCCTACTTCATTTCAAGACGGATGCGAGACTATGTACGCAGCCTTTTGAGAACACATGAAGTAGGTCTGAACAGAAATAGCGAAGAGAGAATGGACGAGCGCACGAAGGCTCATCTTCCAAGTTACGTGGAGCAGAAAAGCGCTCATTCTTCAACCCCGCTCCGAGTTCGAAGTTCTGCTGATCAAAAAATGAGCGGGGTAGAGGAATAAGGCCAAATTGAGAGAACTCTGGAAGAAAAACCGTTGAAAACGGTCAAAATTCTTCAACTCCCGCCGTTTAAAACGCGTGCGGGCGGCTGCAGTCCATGCAGCACAGTTGCAGTTCCCGCACAGTTCTCAGCACAGTGCGGGACTGTGCGGGAACAGTTTTGGAAAATGGGAATCAGTAGAACCTAGCCTTAGGAGCCGAGCTGGTCTCGTAGACTACATTTCGTCATTGGTAGATTTATCGATTTTTTTGCGAATTTTGAGCTACCGGGCTGGGAATTGGTATAAGCAGGTGAGTGAGGGTGCTGACTACGGATATAATGTTAGTTTCAAAAATAAATTACATTTACCGACTTCATCGATTTTTTGCAAACTTTGAGCTGCAGGTGTAAGATGACATAGGGAGTAAACAACATAAACATAATATCTGCCATCAGAGTGATTTTAATCAGTTGCAATGATATTTGCCCAAATTATGGGACCTTGAAATTTCGAACGATTTTCATGAGGACGCGAATTCGTATGCTCACAGTTCGGCGATCAATACAGATAAGGGCCTAGGTTAGGCATGCTCTGAGAGCACTCTCTAGTGATTTCGAATTACAAAAGGAGCAGGTAAGTTGTCCAACAGATGCGCGAAAAGGGCAGACAAATTTAGGAACTTGCGTAGTATCGCAGCATTTCTCTCAGCATAACTCTGCTAAAGAACTTGCGCTGCGCAAAGAGCACTATTTTCGTACTCAGCGAGTCCGAAAACCTCTATGGGCGAAATTTCCGGTCAATCCAAGATCATCAATATTTTAGCCAAAACCCGTCGGCGAGCTTCACAGCCTAGAACGAGAAAAAGTCGAAGGGCCCGAATTTCTTGCAAAACTTGCGTAAAGAGGTTATCTAGCCTGCTGATCACGAAAAACACACCCGCTTTGCAAATTAGCGTCTTGCTGTATTTTTACGGTAGCTAAAATTTGAGAGACATCGATTTTTGCAAAATTCACCGGCCTATCTTTCTCTTTGGAAAAAGGATCCTCCGCTAGTCGCTAGCGATAATCTACAAAAATAGCTCTACGGAATCGTGTTTACTAAAGTCTTTCTTGTGTGTTCTTCGCTGAGTTACACTACTACGAAAACCTATCCTCATACAAAAGTCGAGAAGACTGAAAACGGAATAGTAAGCGAGTGTAGTACATCAGAAGATTCGTCTTGACGCGCTGAACATTGCTTTCTTCGGATTCGTATTTTATGCAGTCCGAAGGAAGTTATGAAGAAAAAACGAAAAAAACGCGGATCGTCAGTTTTTGCGTTTTCTGTCGAATAATTGGTGTGGGTATTGTACCTATAACATGCCATAGGAACAAAACTTGGGAGATGTAATCTCTCAAAGACGAGGTTTTTAAAAGAAAAGCTTTCGGTTTTTTGTCTTCCCGTTTGTGATATCAGTAAATGCAGGTGCGTGTTAGGTTACGAAAAGTTCACTGCTTCAGATGGTTTTGTTTCCATTTAGAAATATGGAGACTGAACAAAGTTATCCTTTCGAATTGAAATTTTGCAAAACGGACATTATTTTTGCAACAACTTGATAGAATAGTCTTCGATCAAAGCACCTTACTCAAGATACTTATGTGGAAATTCGTCGCCGAAGGTAATTTTGAATTTTCGCTTGTTATAAAAATCAAAAATATATTCTCATTGCCGATTAATAAAAATATGAAAATGGTAATCACATATCTACAGCTTCCATATAAGTACTTACAGAATTGAATGCCAAAATTGGTCACAAAGAAGATCATTTGATAGCAGTGTTATTGTAATGGTTAAATTGTAAACGTGATCGTGTTTGATTGTAATTCCTTTGTTTATTTATTTAATTGTTTATTGGATATTTTTCTACTGCAGTTCCAAATAAACTGCGATCTGATGTCCCGATCAATACACTATTTGTTGCAGTCGGGCGGCCTTTGAGGGAGTTTTCACACCTCAACGCGATGAGGAGCGAGGGTGCTGCGAAAATCTCTCAACGAGAGGTTGTCGAAGACGAGAGCGCGCTTACGGTAGCACAGCTCCGGCGGTGGTGCCAGCTCTGGCGGCTGGGCGGCATCAAGCGGCTGCCTGGTAACACGCGCGCCTTGCCTTACTGATATACATGCAAAAAAGCATTTTGCTATCTGGCTTTCTGTAATGCAAATTGAACCCGCCTATACGTTCTCCGCATGGCTTAAAGATCCAGTATCTACTGCGTCCTCATTTCGTTTCTAATCTTAAGATACGAAAGCAGAACACCTAATCGCTAACAACGCGCCTATATGCCAAACTATGCAGTTTTGAAACTGCAAGTCGAGCACCATAGGAGGAGGATTCCACCTGTACGTGGCCATCGCGCCTCCTCCTACATTTACTGTAATAAATCATGGCTGTAGGTTTGCGATTTCGTGTCAGACTCGGTGACAACGCTTCTCCTATTATGCTTTAATGCAAAGAGCAAATTATAACGTCTACAATTAATATATTCAAACTAACAAAGGAACCGTGCGGACTCGAAGTGGCCTTTTCCAACGGAACGCATATATGTTTGCAGGTCCTGGCACGCAACTTACAAAACAGCAATCCGTATCTGCCAAGCGATCCTGTGTGGCAAGATACGAGCGTTCGAATTCCATGAGATCGCGCGTTCGACAGAAGTATGCGCGGCCGTCCTTGGCACGAAGTGGCGGCATAGCGCAGTGCAAGTGGTTGGACTCATAATCTCTGAGATCTAGTCGAGAGCATCATCAAAAATAATATTTCTTGCAAAAATACAACTGAAGCTGAACATGATAGGGACTACTTTTTGAGAGACCTTCGCGATTGTGCTGCTTTTGTCAGACATTTGGAAGTCTGTTCTTCTTATTAAGGCTAAAGCTCTTCTTCGCCCTAACTTGTATCAATGTCTTTTACTGGTGAGAGTGTTCTTTTTCAGATCAGCGCAATTTTTTCGGTGAACATACGACTGGCCTTGTGAAATCTCTAGTAGCCGTATTTTTGCAATAAATATTGTCGATGAACGATGTGGACGACCAGCTTATCACTAAAAACAAAAGGAGACAAATGCAAAAATGATTCCGAGAGCAGGTTTCGAGCCTACACTTCAAAGATTATGAGTCCAACCAGTTGCCACTGCGCTGTCCTGCGACTGCCCCTTGTAAGTCAAGATTGCTTATATCAAAACATATATTTGAGATATTCTTTTTGACTGCTAAAGCCACAGTACAAGTTCTTTTTCATAGATCGAATTTATGTGTATTCGGATTGCGAAGAGGCATTTACTGCCTTTTTCTTGTAAACGAAAAACGTCATGCATGCAAAATCTGCGCTGTTGTGCGCTGTTTGCTAAGAGTAAGGTGCGGCCCAAGATTTTTATGACCATCGCGATGCGACAGAAAGAAACACATTGCTTATAAGGAATGTTGGACAGCTCAAATATGTGCAATGATCACTTTTGCTTTGCTTAGCGCTGTTATTTCTTTATCTTCAGCTTGTGCACCGGCTGCAGGTACTACATTTCAGCACTTTGAAAATCTTCCAGATAACTGAAAAAGTTTTTGGTTTTACCTAAATAACGCTTTCTACCGTATTCAGGAGGAATTTCGAAAAGTGCATCGCTACGCTTTGTTTTTTCACCAAGCCCAAGGTACACATACAGCGATTCACCGGCTATGGGACAGACCTCAACATCAAGAACCGCTGAACACAATGCCGACAAGGATTTGCGAGCTACAGTGAGTGCTTTTTTGAGTTTCAGGCATTTTTACTCAATAAACATTCATATTTTGGGAAAGTTTCTCGGGCACGAATCTCGTGAGGAAGTGGTGCTAAAATGCTACTTTGGCCCAGATAATGCCGCTGATGAGAATACAACTTGTTAATCCAAAATCCGCCTACTAAGCATATGTCAACAAAAATTATTTACAATTTTGACAGTGGTGTACCGAGGATTTCCGTTTGGATGTGCGTGGCGTTAGCCAACCCCCTTTTTGAAAAATATCAGAAATATGCACATTTTTATAATATGTAGGTAACTTTCAAAGATTCCGCGACCCATTCTCAGGGAGGGAGGCGGGGGGGGGGGGCTGCCCCTCGGCACGCCACTGAATCTTTAGTGCCTTTTTACAACGTGGAGGTGTTTTGGCTCTAGATTTGCTAATTCATTTCTGCAGATTCTAGCTCTCAATCAACTCAGCTCTACTCTGCTCCTTCGAACCAGTCAGACGTTTTAAGCAAAAACTTCAGAATGAAAATTACGTGAAATATATTTTTTAAGATTTTGTCCACTTTCGCTGAAAACGGTATTCCGACTGACATGGCTGCTTTGAAATACGAATACAAAGCTCCAAAAATTCTGCTTGCCAACGGATCGCGATGCGAGAGACCCGGTACATACGTTGTCTACCATGGTGATTTCAAATTTTCTCTAATTTGGCGCTTTGTATGGTGCTAATTTAGGAGCTGTTGCTTACAAATGTGTAGAAGACGAAGTTGTGGCAAGACGCGGAAAACGACGCGTTAACTTTGAACTGCTTGCCGCAGGTGATCCGACTGGCATTACGGACCTATCGACAAGTACAACAGAATCGACTGACACTGCGACAATTAGTACAGCTAATGCAGATGGATCTTCATCAACGTGGACAACTGCCACAAATGCAGGAATCACGACTACAAATGAAGAAGGATCTACTCCTGACAATGTCGATACGACAACTGTACCTGGTAAGGTCACAGATGGACCTGCTCCACCAACAGACGCACCTATGATCCCTGGTGTGCGATCAGAACAATATGAAATCAGTGGAGAAGTGACTGTTGAGACGCAAATGGTTAGGCTCAAATTTCATGCACAGGCATCCAAAATTTTGTCTATTCAGGCAATATATGAAAGTCAATGGGCAACGCTAGCTGAGAAGATTCAAGAAAAATTGGAAGGACGTCACGTGTTATTTATCGAAGACATTATCGTGACACTACTATAATTGTGTTTATTTATGTGTACAAGCATTGGTCTGAAACATTGAATAAAACTTTTAATTTCATCGAAGGCTCTTGTGTTGGAACCACATCAAAATCAGTTGGATTGAAAGCTAGATTTTTAGAATGCACGTGATTAATTATGGGTAAACAAAATAGATCAATTTTAATTAATAACATTCTTGACGTTTTCCGGAGAACCATTAAAAAAGTTGCCTTCTTTTGCGCCCATATGCCTCTCTTCTTAACTTTACGGTTATACAACCTTTTTGGCCACCTTTCAGTCAGGGTGCCTTCATATCGCGCGAGCAACAGCCGCTAGCCGCCTGCAGTAGCTTTTGCGCACTATCTCAGTATTCCAAAGCCTTTCCAGAAAGTTTAAAGGTTATGCTATGTAATAAACATGCCGAATAACCCCACTAGACAGTTTGAGCAAAATCTGTGGTTTCGAGATTGGGATCCAAATAATGGAATATTGCTCAAAGGCGGCTAGCGGAGATTGCCGGCGTGCTATGAAGGTACCCCCTAGCACATATATTAACACATTGACGACCGCTTGACATACATGGTGTGTCAAGGCTTGACACACGATGATTTTCATTGACATGGCTACTAAAATGTGTCCAACCAACTCCGGGAGTTTTCTTTCATGCTGGATTTAGATACAACCTCTACTGTTTTTGCCAGCATTCCGGCGCTACTGTAGGTGTACTGTAGATGGAAATGTGCGCGATTTTATTTGAAAAATGTTGGCTGGTCCGAGAAAGGCTTCTGTCGTCAGTGTGTTAACGATTAGCTGGCAGACCCGGCTCCGTCCGGCCTGGTCCATTTCGGTTCAGGAGCAAAAATTTTTATTTGAAAGAACAAAGGTACGCACAGACCGACGACAGATATACAGACAGACTTTCAGCTTTATAGTAGGTCATACCAAAAGTATTTTCTTTTTACCACAATTTTCAGAGTGAACAATTACCAAAGATTTTGGCACCACTCGATGTGCCTTTTCATCCTTTATCGAATCGTTGTGCACTTATTGCAGCACATTGGAAGAGCTTCTAGAAAATCACTAAATTTGAAGCCCATGCTTTTTGTCAAGGTCAGGTTTCTCTATTTTTCTAAGTTTTTATATCAGTTGTCCGAAGACATCCAAATGAGTGCGAACCCTATAAGACATAGTGCAACTTTTTTCTTGATTTAGTTCGCTTTTGAAAATCAAAAATCATTTCGTTGAAGCTATCATATTCCATATTTGGTCACTCAAAGTTTGTAGAATGACAGCCGGTAAGCAACTCCGGTGTCATTCGATGCAGCTTCTTCATCTTTCTCTGACAGCTGCTTCTTATTCCCGATTTGTAAAGTACTTGGTGACACAGCTTTTGTTTCTAAACGCGCTCCAGGCTGATTCGGAAAGTGCGAGATTTGGTATTTCGAATCCGTCATCGCTCATTTGTTTTGAAAAATTGGTGTTTAATTATAATCCATTTTTGGAAGTTCCAAATTATTAAGATTTACCGGTATTTATTGGTGTTTGAGGTGTTTTTGTCCGAGATAAGCTTACCAAACTCGATGGTTCTGTTCAAAAATCATTAAGAATTTCCATTTATTTTTGAAGAAAAAAATTGTGTCCTATAGGGTTGCACTTTTTATCTGCTACTCGGAATTCTTCGGTGGGTTGGTATGAAATAGAAAAATGACGAAACTTGACCTTGGCAAAAAAGGGCTTTCAAGTTTTGGTGTTTTCTTTTAGCTCTTTCATTGTGTTGGAATAAGTGCATAGCCATTCTATAGAGGATGAAAAGCCACATCGAATGGCACAAAATCTTCCATGATTGTTCACTCTGCGAATTGTGGCAGTTGTTCAAAGAAAGCGAAAATACTTTCGGAACGATCTAATATGTAAGACTAGCGACCCTAGGGGTCGCTATTAAGTGAGTTTGGACAGATATCTTGATAATTTTCTGAGTGAAACCAATAATAGCAAGGAACTTCCGAATCATCTCCGCTATTCTTCTTGCAAATACCCTAACCCAGACACCACAGTTTTAATGATGTTGTAACAGTTGTCTCGTCGCGATTCAGTCGCGACTATCAAATCGCGTGAAGTCTGTCCGGAACTTGAGGAAGTTTCCAGCAACAGAAGAAATCCATATACCTTTATTCTCCCAAAGAGAATTTCACCATTGTGATTGTATTTCTAAAGGAAAATACAGGGTGCATAATCGCGAAGGCCGGTGGTTTCGCCATTGTCACACATTGAGCTCTCTCAGTTCTGTTTCTCCTTTTAAATGCTTTTCTGCAATCATATGTTAGCTTTTGTCTACCTGTAGCGATTTTGAAAAATCGGAGGTTGTTTAACTGGAGTAGGAACTTATGAAAACCTTTTTATGCAATGGCCGCATACAAAGCCAGGGCTCGGCACGAGCTGGCACCAGGGAAATTTCAAAACGAAGTCCCGTTTGATATTGAAAATTTCGTACGAAGCCCTTCTTGACCTGTTTTGAAAACCCGTCATCATTTTTATATTATGTAAAAAATGTAGTAGTGTTTTCATGCATTTCTGATTTCGTGAAAGAACTTTCCACAGCTTTCTGAGCTTTTTGAGTGGTCGAATCACATCTTGAGAAGCAGAAAAAGCCGATTTTTCGACGGCGGAGCGGACCGAGGGTTTTCAAATTGCTATAAAACGCTGAAAAGAGAACATTATGAAACTGTTTCTTCTCCGTATGTAATCTTTTACGGTGTAGATACATTTTATGTAAAAAAGTATGAAAACTTATGTGAGCAAAGTGTCGGTGCCAGCTCAGCTGGCACCCAGCTGGCACGGTGCCAGCTAATTCAGAAAAAAGTTGGGCACAGCTTTCATTCACATAAGTTTTCATAAATTTTTGGCCCGTAGTTCCGGTACACCAACGCGCATGCACACACCAAATCTGGTGTCATACTATTGCGTTTTGGCTGAAAACAACGCCTTTGTTTGTTGATGGACAGCTTGCCAATGGCATGCCGGTGGCATGCCGGCGGCATTTTTGCGGCAGTTCTCCGCCTCGGCCTCTGTAGAAACGATATCCCCTTTGCTTTCCGCGCTAAAAACGATATCCAGCTTGACCCGGTGCCAGCTGTGCTGAGCCCTGTACAAAGCGACCTTCGCGATCATGCACAGCCCTATACTCTCTTTGATAATGCCTTGCTAATAAACGCAGTTTCTTTAAGCGTAACCAAAATTTGCTCAACGCTTTTTTTAAATATTAGCAAAAATGTCTTACCGCAAAAAATTACTGGGATTTCCTTCCCTTAAGACAAGCTCATTTGCTACTCTGTTGCTTTCATCGGCAAAAGTAGGACTTTCACAGATTGAAAGCGGCCAAATTACCTGGTTTCAATGCTAAGTGCAAAAGCTTGCCTCCGGGCAAGCTTTTGTACTTAGCATTGAAACCAGGTAATTTTTAGCGAAAATGTCCTGCAGCATGAAGCCATTGGATCTTTTCTTCCCTCGAGATCAAGCTCCCTTTGTTTTTTTTTTGTTTTGAAGGGCAGAAGTATGAATTAGGAGCGGCCAAAAGTGGATTTTAAGCAAATTCTTGTATAATTCAACATTGCGATCTAGAAAGAAATCCTGGTACTTTTCCGTTATCCGGACCCATTTTTCCAAAGAAATATTCTTTCTGATGATCTTGTACCATATTTGGTCTCAAATTCACAAGACGGAGTGTCACCAGGGCCCGGCACCGATGGTGGGGTCAAACTGGACTTCGTTTTTTGGAGTTAGAAGCAACGGGGACATCGTTTTTATGAGGTCCTGGAGGAAGCGCCAAAAAAACACGACGAACATGTCAGGTTTCACGAGTTGAACGTGTTCTTTCGCAAGCGCGCGAATTTCAAATGCAAGGCTCAAATAAACAAATGGCTTGTTTACAGCGCACAAACAATCACATGGCTCCGAATTTGGGCTATGTGTATACAATATTAGTCCAAACTATGTTATGTAAAAAGTTCCCATATTTATGTGTCCTAATATCCGTTCTCGAATTTGTTGGTTTCTAGACCAACTACCAAACCAACTGGGTTGGTTCGGAGCATAAATCGGAGAGTTCACATAAGTTTTGGACCTTTTTGATCTGGACGATTAGAACGGTCAAAAATCTATCATATAGTGAAGAGAGCGGATCAAACCGTTGCCTCTCCCCTTTTTTTGAGTCAAAAGTTCTACAATTCTTCGCGTTGATAGATATCGCGCTCCAATCACTTGCGGTGTCCTTTGAAATATGTGACGAAAAATGCATCGCAGGATTGTTGAGGCTACAGATTTGGTTGGCCTAGGAGATTTTCAACATTCCCAGTATCAAAATGGTACTATACCCAATGGCAGAGCCTTTAATCGACTCGAAATGTTTTTCTTGCTTTTTTGTTATATTACATACCTCAAAGTGCGCTTTTTTCGCTTTGTTGCTATTTTGGTTGAATTAGGGTTCCCCTACTGATTTTCACGTCGAGAGGGACTTCGTAAATTTTCGCGAAGTCATGGGGGACTTCGTTTTCTAAAAGCCTCCAAACCAACGCGTGCCGGGCCCTGAGTGTCAACCTTCTGCCATGTGTCAAGAAGAATTTGACATGTCATTCATGTATTTAACAGGTTTTACCAAGGGGTTTTGCATCCTAGCGACGTAAGTTCGATCTTATTTTATCAACAGTGACCCATTTGAAGTGAACAATTTCAGAAATAAACACTGTTATAATAATAACGTCATCCAGTTATCACTGAACAGCCTAGACCTGCCCAGGACGGAGATGTGCTCTAGGATTCTATTATCTAAGCGTCGAAACAAGCAGCATTAGGTTACTTTACAGTCTCTCCTGCCTAAATTCGTCTGGTGGAAGTTTGAAGAGGAAGACAATTTTGAATTACTGCCGAAAGCAATCACGATGTTCTGAGACAAGTTCTAGACAGTTCTGCTCTTATAGAGAACAGCTGAAAGGCTTTTAGGTGGTCAAAAATGCTCTTTTACAT